TGGGGAGTCCGGCAGCGAGACACAACTCCCACGTAGCAAAAGAAAAAGACACGAAACCGACATAAACTTCGGCCGGAACGAAAAGAAACGCGTATGAAACGCGACGGCGCGATAATACAATAAAGTACGGGGCTCGGTACGACGCGAGTACCGAGGTCTAACGACAACAGTTATTCCCGCGAAAGTCAATCGTAAATTGACGCGTCCGATACTTGTACGAAAACGACGTTGACAGAAAATTAACACACCGATACGCAAGGAAATCACGCGCAAGGTCACACTACAGCGCGACGCGCGACCTCGTGATTCCGCGTACTCACTCGCACTTACTCTAACGCTCGCGCTCTCGGGCGCGAGGGCTTTGCGGCGAACTCGCGACGACGATCTCCGGGTGGCTCGACACGCGATTCGCGACACTCCCGATCGCTCACGGCAGAGTCTGTGAGAATCCTCGCACTTGAGGACGGACGCCGATACACCAAACCAAAGAGTCCTATCCGATACGCGTCGCCGAAGGGGCGCACGCGACGAAACTCTGACACTAAAAATGGCGTTCCCGTCCGCAGCGTGCGAGCAAGATTCTCGCTCAGCCCGTGGCTTTACATACGCTAAAGAGGGTCACCTCACCGGCACGATCTCCAACGCGGCTTCCTCGGCAGCAGGTCCGACAGCTCGTGCGTTCCTCCTCGCTCGCGCCAGCACACGTTCTCGCTCCCTCTCTCCTGCTATATCGACCGCTCCGCTGGATCGCACGCTCGCCTCGGTCGCTCGCACGCAAAAGCGACGTCGATCGCGCTCGATCGCGGATCGATGCCTGCACCCCCAGCCCGGGGGTGCGCAATACAGCGGCGCAGTCGGCCGCGACCAATCGCGGCGCCGTGTGGGGTCCTGCCGTGGCACGGGCGCGATCAGGTGATGCATCAGGCGGGCGCCTCGCGCCCGCGCGAGGTTGCCCCAGATCCGGGACTTGACGGCGTGGAATCAGCTGGGCGCGTCCTTCGCCCTTGA